GTTCTGTTTAACACTCATCATTAATTTATATAAATCATTTGTTGATACGTTTTGGTCTGGGTTTGGCTCGGACATTATTGACTGAGAAGGTTGAATAGGAACAGAGTACGATTTTGTGTTCAATCTTTTGGGCGAAGGACGGACAAAATCACAATCAGAGTCAGAGGAACTTTGCCTTGGTCTTCGTGGAGGATAGTTTTTATATCTTGACATAGAGTGTTATGGGTGTTTGGTGTATATATACTTTCCCTAATAACTGTTTATCACAATATTCTTGTCTTTAACTGATTATCACTTCCAGATCAAAGGATATTTCTAATAATCTATCACATTTCTTTCAGTGAAAAATTCAAACGTCCATCTTGTTTAAACGTCACAACATAATCAACTCGTTAAAAACATGGCTCTTATTGTTTTCCGTGAAATAAATAGCAAATTAAGACGTATTTTTCATTGACTGCCTTCATTTTTTATACGAAAATAACAAAATCGGCCGCCATATTGTTGATCGTATTTACATCTTCTACGTACTGTTTATTATCCTCCAAAGAAGGATCACACCCAAATAAAGAAAGATAACTCAATCTTATTTTTTCCTAGCATTGAGTAACCTACTAAGATATTATAAAATATGTCTTCATACTTCTTGCTTTGAATTTATATGTTTAGGTGTTTTGAGTTATGGGAAAAGTTAAAGAGGTCTTAGAAGCAGGGTTGGTAGGGTGCCTTGGTCATCTTTTTCTGTATTTTTTATTTTCAATCCAAATTTTCACTGTTCACTATATCCTAACATTGTGTAAATAGTCGTGTCCATGAACCAATCCCAGCAAAACTTACTAATACCATTGTCTACAGGAGATTTTATTTCTTGTCTGTATCGAGTTTCTATAATGATTTTCCATGTATCGCTGTGTATACTTTATATGCAATTTTATATGCATTTACATGTTTGTCTTCAATTACAGTTTTATTCTGTTATTGTTCTGTTTATGCATGATTTGGTGATTCATATATATAGCATGTTTAGCTTATATATATTTACTTTAGTTATATATATTATCTTTAACTGTTAAAACCTGATTTGACCTTTTCTCGGTAGATTGTTCTGTGGTTAATTATAAACTTTTACACATCTATTTATTTGAAAGGATTTTCCCAACGTAACTGATCTGTGGTAATCAACTGGTCGTCTATGAATTTCTTTAATTTGATGATATTACACCTGGTGTTTCGGATATCATTTAGGTCAAGTTCGACCAAGGCCGTTCATCCTCGTCAGGTGCCCTGGCCTAATTTATTTTTATTCACTATAACATTTGGTTTTAATTACTTTTTTAATTGTTATCAATATGTTTCTATCGTGTAACGTATCAAATGCAGTTACATTTTGGGGCACTACACCTGGTGAATCTGTAATACACTTATAGTTTAATGTCCATTCTTTATCCAATTACATTATAATTTTGCCGAGGTCAAGTACTCCTTCACATTCTTGTGTTTACGATAAGCAATGATAGGCGGTCTGGGAAATAGATGTTGAGCGGTCTCGTCGTCTTCAATCAAATGCCAGTGTTTTCTTATTCGTCTTCCCAACTGCTTAAATAAAGGATTAAATTTCGTTGCTATGACTAGTGGTGGACTTTTCTGTTTGTTTTTTGTTTTATAACATAATGTGTTTTGCCTACTTTTTCGTAGTGCTTTATTAACTAGTGGATTAATTTCATTTTCCTTGTGTCCGCTGAGTATAAGCTTGTGTTTAAATAGTTTGATCTGTGTGTCGAGGTCATCTTTGTTATTACACAATCGAATGAACCGTGTAACTTCGCCAATTATAAATCCCTTAAATACAGAGGCGGGATGAGCTGATGATTTATCTAAATATTGGAAGTTATCCGTAGGTTTGCGATATAATTTGATATCTAACATTTGTTCCGTTTTAAATCTATCTCCTTTAAATATTGTTACGTCCAAAAATTGTATTTGACTATTAGAAATTTCATATGTGAATTTTAACAATGGATGAATACTATTTGCAATCTGGTAAAATTCAATAAGCGCTTGTTCACTTCCTTTGAATAATAAAAAACCGTCATCTCTGTAGACAGATAGAAGAGAAATTTCGGACGATTGTGAGAACCGTTTTAACATTTCAGAAACGATTTCATATATTCTAATATCAGTTAAACTAGGAGACATTGGTGACCCCATCGGTACTCCAACTTTCTGTTTAAAAATCTGCCCGTTGAATTCAAATTCATTGTTTCCAAGGGCAATTTTCAGTAATTCTAACATATCCTTTTTGGGAGGCACCGTGATGTCAAATTTACATTGCATTATTAGCGGCCATGCTCTGTCGATTGCGTTTATAATTTCCGTATGATGTAGATTGGTATACATACTAGAAATGTCAAATGAACTCATTAATATATCAGGAGAGGCTCTTATTTTTTCCAATTTGTTTATAAAAGAAGTTGTATCTTGTGTGTATGTCCAAAATTGGTTGACAACTGGTTTAATAAAATAATCGATATATTGTGCAATTCTTTCTAAGGGGCTATTACATAAAGATACAATGGGTCTTCCTGGAACGTCTATATTCAGTAAACAATTCTTATCAACTTTGATCTTTTCTCTATTATTTTGATTAATTTTATGAAGTTTTGGGAGGAAGTATAGTCTACCCAATCTTCTTTCATCGTCATTTTTTAGGAACTTTAGTGTGACATCATCAATGTAAGAGTTCTTGTGTAAACGAGAAATGATTGTGTTGATACTGTTCACGATCTCCGTTGTGTGAGATTCATTAATTGTTTCATAGTGTATATTATCATTTAGCTGATTCATTGCCATTTTTATATAGAGGTCTTTGTCAAGAACAACTGTTGATGAATTTTTATCTGCCTTCTTTACTATAATACGATCATTTTTACGTAAGGATTGCAGTGCCATTCTTTCATTTTTTGATAGGTTGTCCTTAGATGTATTTAATTGAATTTTCTCAAGTTAAATTCTTGTTGAAAATAAGTAGTTTTCAATTGCATTATTTGCCCAGCTTGGTTTATACCCACTTTTTAAAAGAAATGGATGACGATTGTATGTGTTAGACCCGTCATCAAAGTGATATTTACATCTCATTTTACGGGCTAGTTCGTTGAAGTCATTTATGAGAGTTTTCTTTGCATTTTGAAGTCTTGGACATCCCGGTGCCTCCCAAAAAGGATATGTTAGAATTACTGAAAATTGCCCTTGGAAACAATGAATTTGAATTCAACGGGCAGATTTTTAAACAGAAAGTTGGAGTACCGATGGGGTCACCAATGTCTCCTAGTTTAACTGATATTAGAATATATGAAATCGTTTCTGAAATATTAAAATGGTTCTCACAATCGTCCGAAATTTCTCTACTATCTGTCTACAGAGATGACGGTTTTTTATTATTCAAAGGAAGTGAACAAGCGCTTATTGAATTTTACCAGATTGCAAATAGTATTCATCCATTGTTAAAATTCACATATGAAATTTCTAATAGTCAAATACAATTTTTGGACGTAACAATATTTAAAGGAGATAGATTTAAAACGGAACAAATATTAGATATCAAATTATATCGCAAACCTACGGATAACTTCCAATATTTAGATAAATCATCAGCTCATCCCGCCTCTGTATTTAAGGGATTTATAATTGGCGAAGTTACACGGTTCATTCGATCGTGTAATAACAAAGATGACCTCGACACACAGATCAAACTATTTAAACACAAGCTTATACTCAGGGGACACAAGGAAAATGAAATCAATCCACTAGTTAATAAAGCACTACGAAAAAGTAGGCAAAACACATTATGTTATAAAACAAAAAACAAACAGAAAAGTCCACCACTAGTCATAGCAACGAAATTTAATCCTTTATTTAAGCAGTTGGGAAGACGAATAAGAAAATACTGGCATTTGATTGAAGACGACGAGACCGCTCAACATCTATTTCCCAGACCGCCTATCATTGCTTATCGTAAACACAAGAATGTGAAGGAGTACTTGACCTCGGCAAAATTATAATGTAATTAGATAAAGAATGGACATTAAACTATAAGTGTATTACAGATTCACCAGGTGTAGTGCCCCAAAATGTAACTGCATTTGATACGTTACACGATAGAAACATATTGATAACAATTAAAAAAGTAATTAAAACCAAATGTTATAGTGAATAAAAATAAATTAGGCCAGGGCACCTGACGAGGATGAACGGCCTTGGTCGAACTTGACCTAAATGATATCCGAAACACCAGGTGTAATATCATCAAATTAAAGAAATTCATAGACGACCAGTTGATTACCACAGATCATTTACCATGTTTACGTTGGGAAAATCCTTTCAAATAAATAGATGTGTAAAAGTTTATAATTAACCACAGAACAATCTACCGAGAAAAGGTCAAATCAGGGTTTAACAGTTAAAGATAATATATATAATTAAAGTAAATATATATAAGCTAAACATGCTATATATATAAATCACCAAATCATGCATAAACAGAACAATAACAGAATAAAACTGTAATTGAAGACAAACATGTAAATGCATATATAATTGCATATAAAGTATACACAGCGATACATGGAAAATCATTATAGAAACTCGATACAGACTAGAAATAAAATCTCCTATAGACAATGGTATTAGTAAGTTTTGCTGGGATTGGTTCATGGACACGACTATTTATAAAATATAAGCTGTTTTGTGCTGTATTGCCATTAAGCACAGAAAAGGTAGAAAGGTGAAACTTGTAAAGTGTGTCAGACCATAGGAACAGAATGAAGCAGGACATTTTTCAAAAAATACTGCATATAAAGCTTAACTGTGCCAAGCAATGATTTAAAACATGTGTGACAAGCTGCTTGATAAGTTTTCAGCCTAAAAAGTAGAAAGATAGTTTTTCTCTGGGCTAATGATGTTGTTCTTGTATATATATAACCAGTGATTCAATGAACAAACAATGTTTGATTATAATCTTTATTAAAACATGCCCTTTTCATATTATCATATCACGCGTTAAATGCCCTTTTTCAGGATTGGCACCCTGCCCTTTTGAAATCCTAGCTGGAACACTGTAAAAGTGTTCTTTATAAAGAAAACGGTTCTTTAGAATTCTTCATGGAATGGATAATCTTTGTGTTCACTTGCCCTGCAATAAAATATGATAAGATAGTTGGATAGTATATGCGAATGACAATAATAGAACCACGTGACTGATTTTACTTAAAGATAATATAAAAAGGATCACTTCCAACGGAGTTCTTTTGAATTTTGAAAGAATGCTTAAACACTAATTCTAATTTAAATATTAAAAGAGGAATTGGTAGGATAATTACAATTCGGTGGCTCTGGTAGCATGGAATTGGTAGGATTTACAATTCTATAGCTCTGGTAGTATGGAATTGGTAGGATATTTGCAATTCGATGGCTCTGGTAGCATGGAATTGGTGACTAATTGTATCAAGGGAATAATAACAAAGGAACAAAATCCTACTTCGCTAAGGTTTGATTTAAAAATAATTATCTTTTCATACTGATTTATATACCAAATAGATATAAGTTAGAAGATGTGGTATGAGTGCCAATGAGACAACTCTCCATCCAAGTCAAAATTTATAAAAGTAGACCATTATAGGTCACAGTACGGTCTTCAACACGGAGCCTTGGCTCACACCGAACAGTAAGCTATAAAGGGCCCCAAAAATTACTAGTGTAAAACCATTCAAACGGGAAAACCAACGGTCTAATCTATATAAAAAAACGAGAAACGAGAAACACTTATGAACCACATCAACAAACGACAACTACTGAACATCAGATTCCTGACTTAGGACAGGTGCAAACAAATGCAGCGGGTTTAAACGTTTTAATGGTACCAAACCTTCACCCTTTTTTTGAAACAATATTGTAACATCACAACATAGAAGGACACACTATAAAATATCAACTGAAATAGCTTAACTCAATCAATGGACATATTAACACCATTGGACATACACTGAACAAATAAATTTGACCTATGATACAATGAAAATACAAAATAAATAAACTAAGGGAAGAATAATAAAAGTAACATGTTTTATCGGTATGAAATGTTAAACAATTAAAGAAAAACAATATGCTCGAACAGAAATATCAGCCATTTGCAATAACACAGGTAAATGAAAATAGTTTTGTTGTTAGGTATACGTGTACAGTTCCAATAGAGAAAGGAAATATTTTTACAAAATAAATAATTTTGATGTTCATAGTACGAAGTGAAAATTTAAAGTAATATCAAACACTTATCAAAGCTGGTATATAGACCAGATATAACCCTGAATAACATTAAATACAAAAAAGCAATACTATTAGTATCAACAGGTCAAATAAACAAGAAAGTACGATTTGAGAGTACTCGCAGTTACTGACAGCTAGTTAAAATCCAAAACAATTAATAATAAAAAATCATGCATCAGAGACTAAAATCAACTAAAACACATCCCAGGGATTTAGTATTTTAACGTCATGGACAGTCAAAGAAGACATGACTAGTGCAATGCCAAAAATAAATGTATCGACAGACAGTAGGATAGTTAGGAGTTTAACCTTTTTATAGATCAAAACGAACGTGGGTGTGTCTTTATACATCCCGTTTGAAAAGAATACAAATTTAGTTATGTTTTAATTTGCTGATGACAAAAATATAAATATAAATGCATTTATATACTACTTCAGCAAAGCCAAAAAAGAGAAATTGTCAATGACACCTAACTGCAAAATAAGCAAAGTATATACCTTCAGGAAACAAAGAAAAAATTACTTTAATATATTTTGTATTTTGTACTTGTATTTACAAGGGACGAATGAGAACTTACCATATGATATGGACGTCTGACCATCTGATGACCTCTAGTTATGTTTGGAATGCTATCCTTTGTGGCTTTGTTAATTATTTTGTGTGATTGTTTATAAAATCACCCGAAGGAATTGTTGTTTTAATTGCAACAAGAAGAATCAATTGCTGCTGTCTCTCATAAAAAAACATTATTAAATTTCGGATTTTTTATTTCTAAATTTTAGAGGATAATGTATAAAAAAATAAAAAATACAAAGGAAACACTGTTTTCATAATGAAAATAAATATTGAACTTTACCACTTCTCTATCCATATTCGGGGATATTTATCTAATGCCCATATTTGTTCCATCTCGTCTGGTGACAAGGAAAAACTGAATACCTGAAGAAGATTATTTTAAAATTATTTTACCTTTCATATTTCTTAAAACAATGTTTTTTGTGTTGTTTTTTTTTTTTTTTTTTTTTTTCTGCTGTATCGTTCATCATATAATTATTTTGAATTCTGACTATGAACCTGGTAGTGCATTTTTAAGAAGGAAATATATATGTGCAATGCATTTTGTATATGTTCTGATCTCTGTGGTAAGTTTAGAGACAAATGTAAACAAGAAACTTTGAACTCGGGAGAAAATACTGACATTTTCCTAAAAACCATCTTCACTACATTTAGAAGAAATTATTACTATATAGATGCTTCAATCATAAAAAAAATAACTGAAAAAGTATATAAAAACTTTTGAATATAAAACATCTATTTGAATAACGATTTGTTTGCTAAACTTTGATTTTATAATCTTTAAAGATTGTTATACGATTGCAGAACTCAATCTGTAAATGCAATATAAATGTGTGAGCATTTATTTTGACAGAGAATTTTTTATTAAGGATTCACTCAAATATATTTTAATCATAGTTTAACACATCCTTTGAGTCCCATATTTAAATCCTTTTTTTGTAAATAATCGACTCACATCAAAATTCTCCTTGATTCTAGAAGGCGTTACAGTTATGGAAACTGCTTATTAAATCTTTTTTAATGAAGATGACTTTAAAATTTAACATACTTGTCTATCTAAACAATTACAATGTATAATCGCACGCGGAAGCGTACAAGTCCCACCTCGAGTTTTGAATGTCCAGGATTCGATCCCCGGCTGGAAAAACCAACGGTTCCACCGTACGTCTGACATTTCAGAGTAGAGCAGACTGGTCGACTCAGAGTCAGGATAATGTGTCCAGGTATGGGTGACATGTCTTCATTTAAAATTGAGAATGGAAATGGGGAATGTGTCAAAGAGACGCCAATCAGACCAAAGAGCAGTAAACAGCCAAAAGCCACCAATAGGTCTTCAACACAGTGAGAAAATCCCGCACCCGAAGGCAGGCTTCAGCTGGCCCCTAAACAAAAATGTGTACTAGTTCAATGAAAACGGACGTCACTCTAAACTCCAAAATTTAAAAATGAACTAAAATTAAAAAATATACAATACTAACAAAGGCCAAAGGCTCCTGACTTGGGACAGGCGCAAAAATGAGGTGGGGTTAAACATGTTTTGTGAGATCTCACTTTGAATTGTTACCTTGTGAGCTATCACAATTGCAACTCGGTTCAGCCTACTGTTACATGTAGTATAGAAAGGAGTTCATATTCGTATCACATCAGCACGTTCGTATCCTGATATGCATTTTATATGTGCCACTGAACGTCAAACACCAATCCAAACTTTCATGGATGTATTACACAAAAAATAAACAGTTTAAGCGTCTGGCGTACAAAATTTTTATCTTTGTATTTATGGTAAGTTTGTTTACCGAATGCATAAACAATCACAAAACTAATGTTTGTAATCCAAAGCTGGCAATATGTCGTACTGTTATACAACTGTCAAGTGTAAGGGGAGGATTGAGCGCTCACAAACTTGCTTAACCCCAACACATTCTGTAAGTGCACGTTACAAGTTAGATGCATATACATCAGTGGCTGTTGCTAGTCGCTGTCTGTAATATTTAGTTGTTCACTTATTATTTTTAGCAAACATCATGCTGTTTGTTTTTGAATTGTTTCTTATTTTGTTATACCGGAACCTTTTATACATTTCACTATTCGGTATGGGTGTTGCATGTGTTTATTGATGAAGGCCGTATATATGTGTGACTGTCCTATAGTTGCTGATGTTCTCATCCTTTGGTCTTCGTTGGATAGTTGTCTCATAGGAAAATTGGCAATCATACCACATCTCCTTATTTACATAAGACAGGTTTAGCCTTTTTTGTGCTCTCAAACGTTTTGTATTTATAATTGTCCGAATGCTGGCATGGAGCATATCTGATGAAGGAAGGAATTCTATAAATACGCTTCTTGTTCTTAGATTTTATATAGATTCTTTGGTAATTTTTAGAGATATCTCTTATTTGTAATTTATACTCTATATATTTTGTATCTCCTTTAACCAGACAGGTATTCCAAACACCATACTAGGTTTTAATGTGTACACATTACATTCAGAAAATGTGATACCATGGCTGTTTTTACCTCATGAATCACCATACGTAAATTTTAGAATTAGCAGTACTTAAATTAAAGCAATTTTATATAGTATTGCTATAGCTGTTTGAACCATTTAGCTAATATTGCATTTTTTTATCAATAAATTCTCTCCGCTCCAATTTAGAATTTCTTTTACCTGTGGTATGGTTTTGCCTTTCTTTTGAGCAATATCCTTAAGTACAGGTTCGTCAAATATACTTGGTTCTTTCCCCGTTCGCCTATTATAATATAAACTTATAAATGTTAAGCTTCTGCAATCTTTTAATTTTAAACGGGGTTTTGATAATTGATTAATTGGTGTTTAACGGCTCTTTCAGCACTATTGTGCTATTTCGTGGCGGTCAGTTTTTATTGGTAGTGCAAGCCGGAGTGCTATGAGAGAGGGAAACTGACAGTCAAAGTCAATTAAGATTGGAGTCGAGCGCACCTGTCACGAGCGGGTTTTAATGATATATATGTAACCACTGAGTTTTTACAATGGAGAGGTCATAATTTAATTATGACCCGTACTATATGTAAATGTGTTTGCATTATTATTATTTCACTTCAAAGCATAAAGACTTTATAAGTGTTTAAACCAATTAATCATAAACGTTCAACGTCATTCATAAAAGCTATTTGCAAAAATTGTTCTGTTATAGATTGACGGAAAATCTACCAAACGATAGTTGAAAGCAGAGGTAATGTTCTTCTAAGTTATCTGTCAATATCTTATTGCAGTTCTATTATGCTATCATAGAAAACAGTACACATGGACCGTTATACCCACAAAGGACTGTCCGGGTTTGCTAGAGGTGCATAAGCCGTCACTGTAATGCCTTTTGACAAGCAGAAATTCGCAAGATTCCTATTTGAGAAATAAGGATGTATTTCCACCTACAAATACAAAATATTTAAATAAAAATAATAAACAATGCTATTCGATATTTCTTGTTGTACTGTAGACCGAATTCTTTTGTCTATAAAAAATAGAAAAACGCAAAAATAGTAAAAGGGAAATGAAGATTAGGAAATATATGCTATATAGAGACAGAAGAATTCGGTCTAGTTGTACTGTTATTCTTGGCAAATAAAAAAAAAGACCTTTACTGCCTTAATCTTCTATATTTCATCATTCTCAAAATTCTTTTTTAGAAGCAGCTTACCCCAAAATCGGGACTTGTATATTTTTAATGAAAAAGGCCAACATTTTAAGACCGATATGTCATGTTACCTGCAGATTACATGGTTTTATCCTGGCACTTTGTAGTATACGTTCTACCTGTGACTTGTTAAAGTTAGACAACCCTATATTCTCTGCCATGCCAGCATCAACTAATTCTTCCATACCCTGCAAGTTCACAAGTTCACAGGTAGTGATGATATAAGAATTAAGAAATGTAAAAAAATAGAAAAAAGATCGAAGTTGTATGTACCATAAAGCGAAAATGAAATTGTAAATATAAATGAATTTCAAATGTATACTTTGTCATTTACAAGAATAATCCTCGATATTTGAATTATTTTTAAAAGCGTTAAAAGATATTTTATATACTAATATATATAGGAGTGATGATTAAAATATATCTATGACCGTAAGATATGAAAATAAAAGTATGTGAAATGTGTATATCGATTCATCGCAAAAGATTGAAAAAGATATAAAACATGTTCTTCTTCTAAGAATTTTTCCAAACAAGAGAAAATGGGCTTTAAAATATTAATTCCACTTTTTTAATTCTTCAATGAGTATCATGTAAAAAAAATGTTTTTTTGTTTTAAAAAGATGAAGATATTTCTATGATAAATCATTCTAAATCAATATATCGGATTGTTTCTTTCACGTTATATGATAGCTGGTTCTTTGATTTTAGTAGAGAAAGATATTTCTATGATAAAGTATATTTCATAAGTATAATTCCAAAATATCAGATTCATAAATCATCATCGTTATGTCTGAGTGTCTTAGAAATGTATGCAAAGTGAACCATACCTTCCATGTATCTATTATGTCGTGATTCGCAAACATCATCTGGTCATTTTTATCTTTGGGAAACAAATCATCTCCGTCCTACAATGAAGAAAAAAAATCACCAAAGATACCAGGCTTATATTATAAAATTTAATTGATTTATCATTAAAATAAATACTTTGATGCAATAAATGATTTAATTCATAATTTAGCGATGTAAATCTGTACTGGTAAGTATAAAAATAAGTAAACTCAAATGTACAAATCAACGCCTGGTGTACCGAGAAGAAAACACAATGAGTTTTTTTTTAGAAAAAAACTAACCATACAAATTTAATATTTGACAGTAACATATAATTGTATATATTTATATAGCACTATTTATTGCATGTAGTTGATAAACACCAACCCATCATTACTTCAGAAAAAATAGAAGGCGGAAGATACCAAAGTGACAATCAAAATTCATTATTCAAAGAGAGACCGACAGCACCATGGGGAAAACAATAATCGTCGTGAAAACAAACAATAGTCTAAAAATACTACAAAGAATGACTGAGCAACAAGAACCATACCGAAAAACCGGGGGCGATATCTGGTTGTCCAGAAGGGTAACAATGTAACAATGCATTCAAAACTAGTTCGGACGCAGAGATAAGATCTAGAGCTTGACATATAGTATGGTCAGTTTTCTTTCAGCGAAGACTAATATTCAAGTCTAAATGCCATGTTAGTTTCATATCTCATCGACATTTACTCTTTTACTCTCATGGAAACTCAATTAACATTCATATTTACGGTCATGTTTCTCTCTCCAATATATTTTATTTTAAAGTATTTAGAATTACAAATAAAAAAAAACTTTTCTTGATTGCTG